ACTTCTTCAAGGTGCTGCTGCCTTTGGCCCGTGGCAGTGCCATCACCCAGCCAGTGGTGCTTTCAGCCGCCACCAAGTTTAAGCCAAGCTGGTCGTGGCCGTCGGCATCCTGGGCCACGCCCTCCTTTTCGCCTTCTGCTTCCTCCTCCTCTGGAACATCACGAACTCCAGGTCGTCTGAACCACTGGTGGCTTACCTGCATCCTTCTCCTCTTTCTTGTCCTCAGGTGCTCGCTCGCGCGGCGACTGCCGCCATCTTCCCATGAGGCATGCTTGGCACCACGGCGCAAAGGGCTGTCGACTGATTGCATGAAGCTCTTGTTGCTTTGCCGAGGGGAGTGCCGGCATGCGCATTGGAAGGGCTGCTCGGTTGCGCTCATGCAAGACGTTCCACGTCATCCTTGTGCTCCCGAAATCTTCGGAGAATCCTTTGCTTTGCCGCCGCTCGTAGGCAACCCGAAGTTTGTGCACAGCTCCTTCAGCTTTCGCAGAGGAGTTTCCACCGACAGCTTAACATCATCAAGCTGCGCCTCCTCGCTGACCTCCTAGGCATCCTTCTTTTCTGCCTCTGCCCCCTCCGAACGAACACGGCAACAGACTCCCTGTCTTGTTGGTCCCAAACTTCGGCGCTGAGAGGAACTGCATCTACATTGTACGCCACAAGGACTGGGAGCCCAGCCCTTTGTTTGGGCCACATCCTCCAGCGCTGGAGGAGGCGCTCCGGAGTCGTAGGTGGCGATTGCCGAGATCATCGCAGACATGACGAAAGTGTTTCTTCACTTGGCAACCATCCGTAAAGATGATGTGCTCACCCGACTCCCGCCCTAGGCACCACCTGGCTCTCAGCAATCTCCGCAAAGAGAGGATCACCGAGCCAATGTTGGCAAGAGCAAACGCCTCCCGAATTGTCACAGGCTGGCCCGCATTGTTGTTCACCACCAACTGTAAAGTCCTTGCGCCATGGCCCTGGATCTTCTTGCCCTGGGCATCGCGCATGTTAACATGCCGCCGCTTTGCTGCTTGGCCGCACACATCTGCACCTGAGTCACCGACAATCTCCGTAGCAACAGGCTCCGGAGGCGTGGTTGCTGCTGCCACTTTCGAAGTCCGTGATGTCCATGGCATACACTTCGGCTCTGCTCTGGCTCTCCTGGATCACCCTTGGGTAGTCTTCCTGGATCACGCTTGGGTAGTCCTCGTGGATCACGCTCGGGTAGTCTTCGTGGATCACGCTGAGGTAGTCTTAGTCGGCCTGGATCTTGGGGCATCCAAACAAAACTCTTCAAAGTCGCCCACCTCGGATATGTCGAAAATGAGTGTTTGTGAGCAGCCAGGTGGCGTGTTCATGGGCGCCACGCTCACCTGCCTCACCGATTGTGTCACCGAGGGCGTCTGGTATGCTGACGCGGAGGTAGAAGGTGCTAAGGCTGCTAAGGTTGACGCCGAAGACGGAGAAGTGGCTTCGGTGCCGTCCTCAACTGCTGCACCTTCCCGCCTTTGCCCTTGCCTTTCCTGGCCATGGGGCACTCATTTTTTCACTGGCCGGCATTAAAGGGCAAGTGCCAGCAAAGCGCTGGGGCACAGGCCTGAGGTATGTGATGGTAGCTTCATCCAGGCCGCGCTTGCCGCGTGCCGAGAGCACACATCGGCTTTGATCCCCTTTTCCTTTGCCTTTGTCTTTTCCCTTCCATTGACCCTGCTGCCAGGAGTCTTGTCACCATTGCCGGTTGCCACCATCTCCTTTTCCCTTGCCCTTGCCACTGTCCTTTCTTCCCTTGTTTGCCTTTGTCGCCCTTGCCTCTTCCCTTCTTGCCGTACTTGCCACCCTTCGAGTCCTTGCCTTTGCCTTTGATCTGGTCCACCTCCGTTGGTTGGGCTCCTTGGTTGCTCGAAGATCCGGGTGGCTGCTTCAAGGAGGCCGTCCATGGAGCAGTCATGCTCTCGTACTGCAGGATCCATTCCCTCAAGTTGTGGTACTCGGTCTTGTCCGTGGGCTTAAGTTGTACTTGGGACTCGAGGGGTCCAGAGAGGCTTCCAACAACAGTCGCCGCAATGAGGTCCGGTGGGAACTTGTGTAGCTGTGGATCGCCTCCTCATAGGCAATCAGTTGCCCGTGCCCTTCCTGAAGCTCCAGCTGGGCCAGCTGCCTGACAAAGGCCAGGCTTGTCTTGCTTGCTTGGCTTTCGGCAGCTCTGGCCGCCCGCTTGGTGGCCCCCAGGACCTTTGAAAATACGTTGCCAAGCGCTTGCTCCACGCGCTGCCGAACCAGAGCGTCGATCTGCTCTGCCGTGATTCCTGTCAGCACCGGCTGGCTGGGGCCTGCCGGATGCTGCTGCGGCACGCTCGCCGCTGACTGCTCCATCTCTGCGTTCCCGCCGTAGAGCCCAGCAAATAAAGATCTGTTTCCCGGTCGCTTGGATCAAGAGGTGTCGTCTTTCCTCAAACCTTTGAATCACACGCGCTGAAAAACACACTCCTCTCACAAGCACTGCTGCAGTTTCCCAGGTCACAAGCACGGATGCAACTTTCCAGGTCGCAAGCACTGAAAAACGCGGCAGTCCGCTGGTGCCCCGTTCCCAGCAGACTTACCCAACAGAAAAAGGATTGTTCAATGGCCCAATCAAGGGCAGCAGTGGAATCACTCTGGCAAAGTATATTGCAGCAAAGGTGTGCGAGGGCTCTGATCGGGTGTAGGAGACCCTAGAGGGGCTCCGCTACACCGCTGAACAACAGGGCTTCGGTCGATGTCCGCTTTCACAAGCAATGCTTACTTACATATGCAGGAATGTCACCTCATGTAACAAAACAAGTGAAGCATGCTTTTCGAGAACTTCCGAGGAACAACATAAACAGCCAATCTGCAAACAAACAAGAGTCTTGTGGCTGGCAAACACACTATCGGAGTCGGTGGCTGTTGAATATGTTCAAGCGGTGGAGGTAGGGAGAGCGAGAGAGATCGCAGATGAGCACAGCCTATGCATTTATGGCTGTAGTCATAGTTTAGAGTACGCTGGAACAGAGAAATCGAGGTACGGTATGATCACGGTTTTAAGCTTCCCGGTCAGGGGATGGCAATGTTCCTCCCGGACCCGACTGTGCTCAGGTCAGAAGAGCGCTCTCAGCTAGGAAAGTGTGAGAAAGCCATGCGCTTGGTCAAATGCCAAGTCCCCCTTGAAACCACCCAGGTCCAGGAACTGCTGAATTGTCTGCGCTTTTTTGTAGACCTCCGAAGCTTTCAAAAACGCCACTGCAAGTCCACAGCACTCACAGGGCACCCGGGCCTCGTATCGCACGTGTGCCTGAGTACCCTTCTTTTTCGGGTTCGTCTGGACAAATCGTAGCTTGCGCTTCAACTCGCCTCACATGCGGAGTGCATGCGGAGTGCGCTGTCACATGCTAAAAATTGCCTACGCCTAGCGGTCTTCCTGTCTCCTCTTGGTGCTGCTCCAAGTGTCGTGACCTGGAAGGGCTTGCGGCGCTTGCTCCGCTCGCTGCGCTCGCCGCGCTGCCACCGTTCACGTCACGATAGCCCTTGGTGCCGTTCCCGTCAAGGACCACGGGCTTGAAGCGTCCTGGGCTCTCAAACTCACACGTATCGCACTTTCATCTCTCTGGTCGCAGACCAAGCTGCGGCAAGAAGAATCTGTGATGAGCTTGTGAAAGGCCAACATATCTCCATCTTCCCGAAAGGCTAGACCAGTGTGATCCCCTTTGCAGGACATCTCGGTAATCCGCAATGATCTGTCCTTCGCGCTCTTTTGAAGGATGACTTGCTTGCGGCCTTTTTGGCGAGAGTGTTTCAGCAGGTAGACAACCTCCAGGTGGAAGGGACCCTTCTTCTTGCTCTTCAAGCACTCGAAGAGCCTTGAGACCTCTGCCCGACAGCAGAGCTCGGGGCCCCCAGAAGGCGGCACAGGACAGCCGCGACAGCCGCGGCCTGCGCGGCCTGCGCGGCCTTCGCGGCCTTCGCCTTCTGGCTGCCAGCGCTCGTCCCGGAGCTTCTCCAAATGCTTCGCCTCTGCATCCAGCACAGCGACGAAGAGCGTCCGCGTGCCGGAGCGCAGAACTCGCCGCAGGCGCTCGACCGATCGCCGGTAGGAGCTGCGGTCGCGCCTTCCATTGCGGGCACCGGACCAGAGCTGATGGTGTGGGAAGACCACGTTCTTCGCCTGCACCGGCTGCACGCTGCAAAAATGAAAAGCTGCTGTAAGGACTTTAAGTGACTTTGATCCCTTTGTTGCAAGGATTTGTGGCCCGCTTGTCTCTCCCTTCTCTCTTCCGGCCTTGGTGGACTGCATTCGGCGATAGACGGTGTGGACTGTGCCGCACTTCTCTTCGGATTCTCCCCCCGTGCCACGTTGACACCTGGCTGTAAGGCTGCACACATGCGCTCTGCAGCTCTGTGTGCTTGCTTTTTGCCGTGCTTGCTTATCACAACATGAGTTGGGAGATGCTGGCACTTCGATTCTCCAAGGGCACTTGGTTGTGTCCAAGAAAGTCTTGAAGTCGTCCAGCAGCGCGTGGCGCACCAAGTAGGGCGTGGAGTACATCCAGTCGAACGGGAACTTGCAGATTCGAATGCCCTTGTTCTGCAAATGTTTGGCGATGAGACAGCTGCCACCCAAAGGCACCACCTCAATGCGGAGCTAGTGTGCGATTCAAAGTGATTTAGTGTGTTGACGCTGCGTTGCCCACTAGCCAAGCAGCATGGCCAAACGTTTGCTTTCTAGCTTTCGATGACTTGCCGATCTTTCCCATGGCCGGTCCACAACTGGCTTCAAGATGCTTGGACTGCATGTTTTGATGTCACGGTCTCGGCCGGTCTCGGCATGAAGATGTCTTAGGAGTTCAGTTCCTGGCTCGGCTTCCAGCCTGACTTGAGAAGGCACCGGGGAGGGGAAGGTTGTGCAGTCACACGCGAAACAACTCCTCGATGCTCAGTCGCTCGTGTTTTCTGGCCAGAACCGGCTTTACACCTGACGCGTTTCCTTCGGCCCGCCCTCAGCGTGTAAAGCCACCGCCACCTGAATGCAGCCACATGCGACCTTTGGCGGACAGAAAACCTGTGCCACCGGCCGTGGAATGCCAGGTTGGTGGTCCCAGGTCGCTGGGGCAAAGCCTCAGCCAAAGGGCGCTGATACACCATTTGCAGGGCAGTGTGCAAGCTTTTTCGGGTGCTCGACCGGCAGCTCCTTCTCTTCACGATCTTTGAAGAAGATCTAGCCGAAAAGAGAGGCGTCTGAAGTGTCCCGGTACAGTGCCGGGCCGTGCAGCCTGCATCGTGAAGACCTTTCGCTGCGGATCCCAGCTGGTGAAGAACTTGTTCTCGGCCTTGTCAATCTCCATGTTCGGAACCTGCGAGCACGTGTGGCGTAACCTCGTGTAAGGCCGCGACGCCGCGAATCCGCCTTGAAGGCGATGGTTTCGTAAGGCTCGCAGGCCGTGAGCAGGTACTGGAATTTGGACTCAGTGGTGCAATTCGCTGCTCAGACACATGAATCTCAAAGGCTGACGAGCACCGACCTCAGGAGGCTCCACCTGAACGACGGCTGGGATACGAGTTGTCGATTTCTGTCTTGCACCACAGAGACTCTCCGCCTTCTGCTCGTAGGCAGACATGAACCGGTGCCGAGGCTTCACTCTCTCCAAAGCCTCCGAAAGACTGAGATGTCCTACTCTTCAGCATTCCTTGCTTTGTCTTGGACCTCTGGATACTCAACCTCGAAGAGCAAAGCCTTTTGCTGTGTTTCTGGGTCACGCTCCTGCACGTTGGCAATAGTCGTCGGGGGCGGCTCAGACACATGCAGACGGCCTTCGTCACTCGGTATCCGGGCCGACCAATCTTCACCGTCTTCCGAGGTCCTGTAGGGAGCAGCAATACCTACTGTCGACCTTCTGATCAGACACTTCCAGTCCTGAAGATGTTTGCGGCTGGGGTTGGATCGTTGCATCCTAGATTGGAGTTTGATATTGAGGACGTATGGTGACCATCGAACTGACTGCATGCTGCTTGAGCTGCCTGTTTCTCGCGCGCGGCTCGTCTGGCCAAGTTGATCTGGTGCTTCTTGCCCTGTGTGTGCGCCAGGTAACTTCCTGGCAGCATGCAACATACGTCTCCACAGTTACCATACAAACCTTGCGCGACGCCTTCGTTCGTGTGAAGCGTCAGGCACAGCTTGCACTCATAGCTGCCAAGGTGGTTGCGCATGAAATAGGGATCCTGTCGACTGCGATGCAAGTGGAATCACGGCCCGGGAGACTGTGGACACGAAAGGACATCCGAACAGCGAGAGTCGACAAGCGCACCGCAGAGAGACCTCTTCAAATGCTCTCTGTACAAGTTCTTGGGCAAATCTGCAGAGGGTTCTCAGAGGTTAGGACGGCAGTGGCTCCTTGGACAAGTCAATCGTTTCCAGAGCAAGTTTGCGAAGCCGTTCACGCCTGTCGACAGACTCCACTGCCATTGCACATGACGACAGCGACAGCGAGGAGACGCCACGGCGAGGCGCCTGTCCGCTGCGATCTCCTGATCTGTTGCGGGACCTCCACATGCCAGGCGACACAGAGCAGAGCGCAGGCCACAAAAGACGATTCCACGGGCGCCTGCCGTCCCGAACTTGTGACCGACACGATTCTGGAAATCCATCTTTTCACGCCTCAGCTCTTCATCTTTCTCACTTGCAAGGGCCTCCGTGGTCTCTTCAAGGCGAAGACTCTTCTTCTCACTTCAGGACCCGTGGGGCCGTAACAAGCGCTTCTATGGCGCCTCTTTCTTGAGCCCAGGAGAGCAAAGTGTCAAAGAAGCGCGGCAAGACAGGCAGTCCTCTGCGGGAGCCACTTTTTTCCACTCCCGCACCATCGTCTCGAGACTCACTTCCGTGAAAGGGAACCTGCAAGCGACGGAGCTGGAGCTGTGGATGCAGGGTGGGTGCGCATCTCTGCCTAGCTTTGGCCCCGTCCAACTTTGGGATGCCTTCCGTGCCAGGAGCAGAAGCTGATCAGATGCTTTCAGCCAAGCCATTCCGTGGCAAGACGCCCCCAAAATATCTTCGAAACAGAAGCTCACCGCCTACCCCAGAATCGGCCTCTAGAACGGCAGCCAATGCCTGGCAGGCAACTTGCGATTGTGCGGATCTCCCGGCAGAGCAAACCCGAAGACCCAAGAAGGTCTGCCGAGATTTGAGATCCGTAGCATGACTGTAGTGTTATGGGCGCAAGAGCCCAAGAACTTACAGCTGAGGGGCATTCAGCTACAAAAGCCAAATCACCACGAAGTTGGTTTACGAAAATTGCCCGGTCATGCTGCCGAACCTTGAAGATATTTTGGGGATGCCGCGGACAACATCAAGGGGATGCAGAGAGCGGGAGACCCTGGATGTGACAACTAACTATAGGGCCTAAATAGGGCTTTAGGGCACCAGGCCGAACCCCACGAGAGCTGAAAGTGTGCGTGACGGATCCGCGGATCTACATCGACACGCTTGCGGTCCCGCCCTGGCCGGTCCTGGCCTGCAAGCAGCGGAGCACAGCAGGCGGGTTGCTGGGCTCCGGCAGCAGGTCTGGTGGGGTGAAGAGGGAAACCTGACAAGCGGCGGAGACGCAAACAACTCGCAGGCGCTGTTCAAAGCGAGCTCCTGGCCTGGTTGACGCCCAAGGCTGCGCAGGCCTGGCAGCGACGCCGAGCCATGCTCAGCCCAAACCCACCCCCGGCCGCCTTCAGGAATTGCGCGAGACGTCCAAGGGACACTGCGTTGGCCTCAACACTCCCCGATTTACAACCCCGACAAGAAACGCACACGCTTCAAGATCCGGTGAGGAACCTTAGGCAGCACGTCGGGGCGCACCTGACAAGGATCGAGAGAGAGAGAGAGAGAGAGGGAGGGATGGAGGGGAGGGTTTAGAGCAAAAAACACAACCCGGCAAGCAAGATGAGAATGAAAGGGAGCCACAGACTGAGAGGCGCTGGGAGATGGCGATTCTTGGGCCGCATGCGCAATCTTCCGAGGTTGTGGCTGAGATCACAAGAGCACAAAGCAGCCGTCCATCGCTCAGGTCTTGCACGGAGAGTTTCTCTGCGTCCAGGCCACCTGCACAAAAAGATAGCACCTTTGCAGATAGAATCTGCTTCAAAGCTGCATCCGCCTAGCGGCAGCAGCCCTCGAACTTGCCGCGCGTGTGCAGGCGGCAAGGGAACCTTCGAAGGCACACTGTTTCGGAGGCCGCAGGCATGGGGCAACCGTGAAGGCCAGCCTTCAGCCGCGAGTCGATGACGGAGCAAAGCCATCGCAGCGCCGGCCTCCGGGCGGACACGGAGACCGACTCCAAAAGCGGGCTCACGTGAAAACTTCGCTTCTTCGCTTCGCTGTGGCCTCCAGGGATCTTCCATGCGCGACGTTCGTCTGAGGCCTCCCCAATGTCTGTGGAAATTTTTGAACCTCCCTCAAAGCCCTGCACCTAGCTCTGGAGAGGCATGGGCATCGATTTCGTCCTCAGTCTCCTCCTGACCGAACGTGGACTGGGGTGACACCATCTTCGAAGAGCCAGGAATCAGGGTCCAGAGCTCAGGACCAACTATGTGTTTGAGACTTAAACGTGCGGTCCTCTGACTCTTCGGACTCTTCCTGTGAGCCTAGTGGCAGCTGACTGGGCTGCGCATGCTGTGCCGCAACCACTGCAGCTTCTGTGCTAGACTCTGTCTGGGGGAGCTTGCTTGGTGAAAGTGTGATTGGCACGAAATCTTGGTACAACAGCTGCCATGCGGGAGCCGGTAAAGTGCGGAAGTCGCAGGCAGCGAAGTCTGGGGCAGGCCCCGCAGCATTCTTTGCCACGGGGAACTCGGTTGAGGTTGGTGGAAGGCTGATTGGCACGAAATCTTGGTACAGCCGCTGCCATGCAGGAGCCGGTAAAGTGCGGAAGTCGCAAGCAGCGAAGTCTGGGGCAGGCCCCACAGCACTTTTTGCTGCGGGGAGCTTGGTTGGTGGAAGGCTGATTGGCACGAAACCTTGGTACAACAGCTGCCATGCGCGAGCCGGCAAAGTGCGGAAGTCGCAGGCAGCGAAGTCTGGGGCAGGCCCCACAGCACTCTTTGCTGTGGGGAACTGGGTTGAGGTTGGCGGAAGGCTGATTGGCACGAAATCTTGGTACAGCCGCTGCCATGCAGGAGCCGGCAAAGTGCGGAAGTCACCATTTCTGCCCCTATGTGGGGCCGGAACTGAGCTTGCCGTGGCTGGTGCTGGGTTGGGAAAGGTGGTGGGGGTCGTGTCTGCCGAAGTTGTTGTTGGCGCAGTTCCCGCCGCCGCCGCAACCGCCGCAGCCAGCTGTTGCAGGCCTGACAAGTGTTCAAGCACATGAGTAACGGTTGCGGGATGCTTCAATGCCTCGGAACGCCGACTCTCGGCCGCGTTCGCGAGCGAGCTCCAACGCCGACTGCCCGGACCTTGGACCAACATGGGCAAAACGAGTCTTGGGGCTTCAGCGGCTCGGCGGAGGGCTTGTTTTTCGCCGCCAAAACGTCAATGCCCGCTGCGGCCAAGGCATGTATCTGCAACTTTGCAGATCTAGTACGCACTGTGAATCCTCAAACTGTGAGTGATAGGGCACCACGACGACAACGACCCCGACGACCAAAACAATACCACCAGAACTACTGCGAGACCAGAGGCCAAGAGGAGATCGGGAGATCACCACGCGACCACCAGACACGACATCCGTTTTCCATTCTGGGAACCCACGACGAGTTCTCGTCTAGTTGTTGAGACGTTGCGGGGGTAGTTCGGCATGCGGGGTCGCACTCAGCGAAGCTACCACAGTCATGGGATACTAGAATCTCCAAAGAAATTCAACGGTCTCTCTTTTCGTAAAGCGCAAGACGCACTTTTCACTTTTGGCCCGGAATGGGCGACGCATCACACTTGCTCGAGTCTGCATGCCACTACATTATTTGCTATGGCTCTGTACGACATGCATTAGGAAGGCTCAAGCCGGGTCTAGCATGACTAACACGCCTCCCCGAAGCGCGTCTGCTCCGCAGACTTGCTTCGCTCCCTGTCATCGCTGCCCTCGATTGTACTCCCAGTGATCCTGAAAGCAGTGCTTGCACGCAGCTCGGCCGCTTTGGATAGCCCTTCGGACTGACATCCTTCCGGTCCTGCGAGCACAATTCAAGTCACCACAGCCTGGCCTGTGATAGGCTCAGACAAGTCTTCCTTTGGAAAAAACACACGAGCATGCCTAACATACTCCCCACGCTCACGGGCTGCCTTTATCTTGCGGACGGGCGAATCGCACCAAGTCCGGGTCCGCATTCTTGGACGTCTTCACCTCGTTGGTCGCCCATTGGCCGTACTGCCATGGAATCTCCCGGTACTCCATGCCGCGGTGCTTCCCGATCTTCATCAACTCGTTGTCCGGGGTGTTCAGGGTGTCCCGCACCAGGCGCAAAATGTTCCCTTTCGTCACCCTCTCTGGGAAGTCCACCTGTAGCTCCCTGGCCTTCGGTTTGAGCTCGTCCATGTTTAGGTGAGCCAGGCGCTTCATCCGTTCGGTGGCGTCCGTCTGCTTGGTGGCCTCCCTGTGCTCCATGATCACTGCCTTGATCTCCTCTGGGCTCCAAGTCCTGTGAACGGTCAACCCTAGGCATACACATTCGGATAGGAGCTGCGGCTTCGTCATGCGGCTGATCGGCACGTCCTGCGAGCATGCTGGGCGTTCCATCGGAGACGCGTGGGCGGCTTCCGGAAGGCGGGGCTCTCTTGCTGAAGACTGATCTTCCGACCCAAAGCAGCGGCATCGGGGAGGTGCGAGATGAACCATCCTTCCACACATCGACAACTGTCTCAAGCCGCCGTTCAGAACTGCAACAAACTCCTTCTGTGTGCCTGAACTCGCCGAGAGTGGACAACAGCATCCCCTTAAGTAACGAAGACGAAGTGCGCCAAAGAGCGGGACTAAACAGCGACCTCCGCGGTGTAACATGTACCCTGATCCATGAACTCTCAGTCTTTATCCAAAAGTCACCGCCAACATCACTCTGCTTCCACCGTGACATGAAAGACTCACGGCAAAGTTGGGTTTGGGTGATCATGCTCTTTACTTGTGGGGGCAGTTTCTTGTCGTAGTAGAGGTTGTAGAAGCCCTGCTGACTATGACCAGCGAAAGCGACAGCATGGACAATGTATTGCGCACGCGACTGCAGGCTCAAGTCCTCGATGGAAAGAACAGGGGCTAGGCTTTTAGGATTTTTTGTGCTACAGGTCTGGGGTTAGCAATATATGTTAGTTACCATGCCGGGCTAGATTCTTCTTACGATTATCTTAAAGGATTCATTTGGGCACCTGGATTTTGTTCTGGATTATCTTTAGGATTATTTGGGCGCCTGGATTTCGGGTATGATCTTGTTCTGGATTATTTGGGCACTTGGAATTCGGGCGTGACCTTATTCTGGATTATCTTATGGATCAGGTTGGGCCCTTGGATTTCGGACGTGATCTTATGTTCTCTGTTGTTAGATATTTGTTCTGACGTTTGGAGACAGAGTGGCAGATTCAGTACGCAGAGCTAGATTATCTAGATTTCTCTTGTTTCAAAAACCACGGGCGTACGCCGCAACGCGTCCAATGTCTCTTTCTCTCTTGCGCCGACAATGCTCTAGTAGTCCTGCCATACCCAACAACAAATTACTAGTGATGTAGAATTCGGATGGGTGTTGACCGGCGACAAACAAACATCTACGATGTCTTGCAAATACCCGCAACACAACAAGCAACATAGAAATCGGATGGGTATTGAGCGGCTACAAACAATCAGCTTTGTCTTGCAACTACCCACAACATACCACGCAACATACAATTCGGATGGGTGCTGACCGGCCATAACAATCGGGCATTGGTTTGGATTCGGGATTCCCGGAGCCTGGAATCCTGGTCTACGTCCTCAACGTGGCCAGAGTTTTGGCCAGAATCCTCCTCCGAATCTTGTCTAAAGCAGAATCCTGCCCAAAATCCTCCCCCGAATCCTTTCAAAGCAGAATCCTGCCCAGAATCCTCTCTACAGAAGGAACCCTCCCAGAGTCGTCCTCGAAATCCTACCCCATACCGTACCCGAAATCGTATCCAACATCGAATCCCAAATCGTATCGGTCTCGGGAGGGCCAAAACGGCGAATCCTCGAGACTGTTATCGTTTTTGCTCTGGATTCCGGAGATTGGTTTGGATTTGGGAGGATTCTGGCTACGATTCCGGGGATTGGTTTAGTTTTGGGAGGACTCTGGCCAGAGGATTCTGGCCAGGATTTCGCACAGGCGCTATCCTTGTCCAAAACCTCCAAAGTGAGATTGCTGAAGCAAATTTCGTTCTATCCCCCAGTGGTTTATTTAGAAACGACCGTGTCAAACCACTCTGACGATCAGGCTTGTCTGTCGACGTGTACCTGCACTATGATCCCCCCGAAAAGCGTGCATGGCTGGCTATGTCTTCATATACTCACTGCCGAACAGGATCCCATGTACGAGGCCCTGCTAAGCTGCTAAACCTGGGACGACAAGATCAGGCGACCCCCAACGAATCGACTTCACAAACATTGCGAAGATTCCTTGTTGACGTAATGATATGTAATTAATGATTGAGCAAGTAATGATGTCAGAGTTCCCAAATACTCCTGAGGGCTTTCGGCGTGACAAAACAAATCCTCGAACAAATCTTTGGAATAATCCAGAGCAAACTCGGTATGATATCAAAGATCTTCGAACAAATCCTAAGCAAATAAAAACCCTAGAACAAATCCTGGGAAGAATCCTGACCAAAATCGGGATGGAAAAAATCATCGAACAAATCCCGAGAAGAATCCTGAGCAAAATCAAATCTTCCAAATGATGATGTCCCAAATCCTACCCACAATGGTAAATAACCAAGAAATGGATTTCCAGTCCCTAGCAGGCAAAAAATCTGGCACGATGGGAATCGTGGGATGTCCTGAGGCAGTGCTCATGAGCTTGTAGTCTTGGAGGCCAACGCTCGTAAAGTGGGCCGAACCTGAAGACACGTCGTAGATCATTCCCATCTTAGCAAGCACCGTCTTCCTGCAGGCCTGTCCTTTCCGGTTTTTGTGCTGAGTACTCTTTTTTTTTGTACTTAGTTTTGGGGGGCCCATCTTTTTGCGCTTAGGGGCTGGGGGTCTGTTGCTGGCTACATTTATGTCATCAACGTGTCTCGACCAGAATGGGCGAAAGACACTTTGTCACCGGAATATATCGAATTTCATTGCAAAGGTATCAAATTAGTGGTATTCACAGCACCGATTTACGCGAATTCCTGGCCTCGCAAATGTTTTGGCACGCGTTCGCTCCGTACAGCCAACGTTCGCTCCGTACAGCCAAGCTTTCAAGCCTCAGTTTGCAGAAAACGGAAACTCCCAAGCCTCTATATTTGTAAGCTTGCAAAGAACGACACACACACACACACACACACGCAGCTTTACGGCATTTCAGTTTGCGCAAGCAGCCTTTCACACCTGGCTTTGTTTGCACAAGTGGAGCCTTTAGCTTGAGCCAACGTTGGGAAAGTATGCAGATTTTTTTCGTATACCTGTATAAATAAAAAATATGGCTAGCTTAATTCTTTAAAGAGTAGCTTTTATATCAAAAAAAGAAACCTAGGGGCTCACGAAGGAGCGCGGAACGGGCGAAGCCCATAAACACCAAACCCTGCACACACGAAACCTAGGGCCTCACGAAGGAGCGCGGAACGGGCGAAGCCCACAAACACGAAACCCTGCGCACGAGACCCTAGAGAGAGAGCGAGCAGAGACAGAGATTTGAAGGACATGGCCATGGTTGTGTCTTCACAGCTGCAAATTAAGCGAGCGATGCTTCTGCGTGGTCTCTCGTCATTTTCCTCACGGTTCGCACAAGTGAGAGTTGTATTGCAAGAGCCACCTCTGCAGCATTCTGCGGCTGATGGTGGAACTGTGCAATGAAGTTTTGATCGCTCTGCACATTTTTCCTATGTAATCTTCTTCGTTAAAGCAGCTTCCCATCCTGGGATTGAGGCGCGCGCCTCCAGCGGCACGAAGAATGATCTGGCAGTGAAGAACATGCAGTTTCGGTCGACACGTGTACCTGGGTTCTATATTAGCTGTGTTTAGCGCAGACACTTTAAATGGACTCGAGGCTTACGTATTGTTACTTGAAAGCAACAGGCCTCGAAAGCCATCTATAGATATACAACCTAGGGCTTACCTATTTTGTCAAACTCGCACAGACCCTGGGCCAAGATCAACAAAAAATGGATTCCAAACAAGGCTTTGTGTCAATGGCAGTAGACGCTCCAGCGCCAGCTCTGCGAGCCGGCAAAACGTCTGTAAGTAAAGACGCCCAGTCTCCACCAGCAGCTCTCTTTGTGCATCTGTAAACCACATGTGAGCCTCATCACAAACGGCCCCCACAGTGTGGAGTGCCCACGCACAGACGCCCTGAAGCCGAAGAGCTGGATCAGCACAATCCTGTGTGGCCAGGAGGCTTTTATTCGATGACAACGCTGATTTTAG